AAAACAACAACAGCACGCAGCAAACAAATAAATGAGATATGTCTTTTCAGATGACAAAGCCGATGTTTGAAAAGAAAATGGACGACAGGTACTTAAGCGAGAGTTTTTGAATGGCTCTTCAACATCACGGCCGTAAAGATCAACCCAATCGGCAAAGCCGTTTCTTTCTAATTCCATCAATTCTCTCTCTCTCTCTCTCTCTCTCTCTCTAAAATACATCTCTCTGTCTCTTTTTTTCTCTGACGCTCACTCACTCACTCACTCTGTGGTTCATTCTATAAATCGACTGCCCCACTCTCATCATTTGATGTCATTCTTCTGAAGTCCCCCTTTAAATTTTCTCTCTTTCTTTCTTTCGTTCTTTATTTCTTTCTCTCTTTCTTTCATTATAACTTTCTTTCTTTCTACTCAATTCTATTGTCTCTCTTTTTCTCCGCTTTTCCTTCTTTTATTTTTTTTACATTTTACTCTTTCGTTATCTTTTTTTTATCTTTTTACTCTCACCTTCTGCCTTTCTTTCCGTCGATCTTTTTCTTTTATCTTTCTATTTTTGTTGCTACCTTTTGTTCTTTCTTTCTTTCTTTCTTTCTTTCTATGATTTGTCATTCTTTTCTTTTTTCCACTATTTCCTTTTCGTTTTTTCTTTTATTCTTTTACTCGATCTTTCTTTCTTTCTTTCTTTCTTTTTCAGTCTGTATTCATCAGTCATACTTTCATTTTCTTTCTTTCTTTCTTTCTTTCTTTCTTTCTTTCTTTCTTTCTTTCTTTCTTTCTTTCCTGAGTGATTTATCGCTTCTTTCTTTATCTTTCTTACTATTTTTCTTTCTTTCTACGCTTTTTGATTCTTTTCTTTGTTCCACTATTTTCTTTTCGTCTTTTCTTTTATTCTTCTACTCGATCTTTTTGTCTTTCTTTCTTTCTTTCTTTCTTTCTTTCTTTCTTTTCTATGATTTGTCATTCTTTTCTTTTTTCCACTATTTCCTTTTCGTTTTTTCTTTTATTCTTTTACTCGATCTTTATTTCTTTCTTTCTTTCCTGAGTGATTTATCGCTTCTTTCTTTCTTTCTTTCTTTCTTTCTTTCTTTCTTTCTTTCTTTTCTATTGCCTCTCTGTTTCTACACTTTGTACTTCTTTTCTTTTTCCATCATTTTCCTTTTACGTTTTCTTTTTTATCTTTTTACTCTTTCTTTCTTTTTTTACTTTCTTTTCGCTGATCTTTTATTCTTTCTTTTTCCTTTATCTTTCTTACTATTTTTCTTTCTTTCTACGCTTTTTGATTCTTTTATTTTTCCACTATTTTCCTCTTCATTTTAATTGTCTTTTTTCTACTTATCTCCGCTCTTTCACTTTCATTCATTTTTCTTTCTTTCTTTCTATCTTTCTTTCTTTCTTTCCTTCTTTCTTTCTTTCTTTCTCTGATCTTTTCCTTCTACCTATCGCTCTCTCTTAAACGTCTTATTGATAATACTTTCTCTTTCACTCTCTTTCTTTCTTTCACACAGTTTAGGTTTTCAATCTCGACATACACAGTATCTTCTTCTCTTAACTTATTAATTCATTCTTCATCTTACCTTCCTCTCTCTCTCTCTTTTTCTTATCTACATTTACCCACTTCTTCTTCTTCCTCTTCTTCTTCCTCTTCTTCTTCCTCTTCTTCTTCTTCTTCTTCTTTATACAATTTCCTCTTTTACCTACCCGATTTCTTTATTCTCTTTCTCTCTCTTTATTCTTTTTTCTTGTTCATTTTTCTTCCTTTCAATCTCGTTTAGTTTCTTCTTTTCTCTTTGTGACGTATTCTTCCTCACTATCGTTTGGATTTTTTGTTTACTTTCATTTTGTCCCGTTTCACCCCTTTCTTTTTTTTTTTCAATAAAGAAACTTTCCGCATTGGGTAGCTGTGAGTATTTGAAAACACCTGAGACCCCTCAGCCGATTCAATGGAAAGAATCTGACATCGAACAACAGGAAAAGGATTAATGGATTGAAAACGACAGGCGACGTTGAAAAGAATATTTTGGAGGCGTTATTAGCAACAAAAATATTTTGGAGGCGTTATTAGCAACAAAAAATATTTTGGAGGCGTTATTAGCAACAAAAAATATTTTGGAGGCGTTATTAGCAACAAAAAATATTTTGGAGGCGTTATTAGCAACAAAAATATTTTGGAGGCGTTATTAGCAACAAAAAATATTTTGGAGGCGTTATTAGCAACAAAAAATATTTTGGAGGCGTTATTAGCAACAAAAATATTTTGGAGGCGTTATTAGCAACAAAATCAAGAAATGATAAGACATAGATTGACAGCGAAAATAAAGAGATATTTTACTAAGATAGATAGAGAGATATGAAATGGATTACGATAGATAGATAGGAAAAGGATTGAGATAGATAGATAGATATGAAATGGACTGCGATAGATAGATAGATATTAAATGGATTGCGATAGATAGATAGATAGATATGAAATGGATTGCGATAGATAGATACATAGATAGGAAAAGGATTGAGATAGATAAATAGATATGAAATGGACTGCGATAGATAGATATGAAATGGATTGCGATAGATAGATAGGAAAAGGATTGAGATAGATATGAAAAGGATTGAGATAGATAGATAGATATGAAATGGATTGCGATAGATAGATAGATAGATAGGAAAAGGATTGAGATAGATAGATAGATATGAAATGGATTGCGATAGATAGATAGGAAAAGCATTGGTATAGATATGAAAAGGATTGAGATAGATAGATAGATATGAAAAGGATTGAGATAGATAGATAGATATGAAATGGATTGCGATAGATAGATAGGAAAAGGATTGAGATAGATAGATAGATAGATAGGAAAAGGATTGAGATAGATAGACAT